ATCAGCTTCTAACTTCAGCTTGTTCAATTAAGCTTTGACAAAAAAATGGAAGTTGATTGCTTTCTATGCAGAGCTGCACCAGATTTTTCAATCGACAGTTTTAGTAAATCAACCCCATTTTCTATTATGTAGGGCTCAGGAGAGGGTAACACACAGACTGCAGGGCTCAGAAGTGTGTAATACAGAGTGCAGGGGTCAATAACATACAAAGTGCAGGGTCAGCACTGCTTGGTGCAGAGAGTGCAGGTGCCAAGAGTATGTAATGCAGAGAGTGCAGGGGTTGCCCACTCCTTGCAGTACAACCACCCCAAGCCCATATTGCTCATAGTGCAGATCTCCCCCAACAGCTCCAATATCCACACATGCTGATATAAAATGATCTTAGTTTCATTAATTAAACAAACATTTTGGAAGGATCTAGGCGCAAAGCCTCTGCGGGACTCTGCCCCTGTACACAGTACAGTGGGGCTCTGAAAAGGCTGACAGGCAGGCAGGAGAGTATTTGGGTCACCTTTCTAACAGCTACGTCTCACTATAAATGCACATAAAAAGCTATAAAAATGCATCTCTCACATGTTTTTGTGTGTTTATAAGCATTTTTCAACTTTTTTTTCAAAGGCATATTTTCTGTGACCTAATTCCTGTTACTGTTGTGGGTAAGAGATGCATGACGATGCATTTATGAGGATCTGCATGCGTTTATGTGAATTCCTGTGATAGAATGCAAACATGTTGCATTTTAATGCACAACTCTAAAACACATTAAAAATTCAGTTGTGTGAAAATGACACATGTCATTGCAGTCACCTGTGTTTATCCAGTGAATAAAAAAATGGTAACTGTACATAGTGTGAATAAGCCCCTAGAGTGTTCTGTCCTTCTTGGGCTTCTCTCTGAAGAGAAGGGGTAGGCAACCTTAAAGAGGTGGAGATCCACCTGAACAACATGGGAGAAGTCAAAGATCTCCTGGCACAGTGTCGCCTCCTCACATCTGATTTAATCCTCTAAATGCCGTACTACCATAGCGCAATCGCCTGCATCGCACGGCAATCATGGGTATATATCAGGTGGTGGTGGTGAGGATACAACATATCGCTTCTTTGCCACCTGTCAAACACACTCACATTGCTTTGCAGAGGAGCAGCAGTACCTGCTGCACTTGTGGATGAGCCCTTGGTTGCATTCGGTAGTGGCACTCTTAGGGCTTGTTCATATGTAAAGTTAGGGGGTGCTAAATCCCTGCAATTGAGTCATAGTTTTACTGCCCCAAATCCCTACCCCTTTTAGCTGCTGAGGCACCAGCCAAAGATGTACACATGCTGCAGCAGGAATTGCACCTTCTGTTGCTTTTGGTGGGTGCTACCGCCTGTCAATTGAGACCCATTCAAGTAAATGGGGCCACTCTGCAAGTGCCCCGTAACTGCATTCTTCTGCGGGGTCCAAGAGGTTAAACCAGGTGGAGTAATGCAACACAACACTGCCTGCTTTATTTGCTGTACTGCAGGGCACTTGCAGAGCAGCCTCATTCACTTGGTGGGTCATGCTTGGCAGGTGCTACACCCACCAACCATGACAAGGCGTAGCAGCCGGCACTACAGAGGAGGCATCAGCTCATGCGTCTGTTACTCCCTACTTCAGCTCCAACTTTACAAGTAGTCCCTCTGCTCTGGAATGGCGGATCAGCAAGCCCAGACTGTGATATACCAGTCACCTGGCCAAGATCTACTGGTTGCTGACCCCTGCTGAAGAAAATGTGTGTTTAACCCCCCTGGCGGTACTCCCGAGTGTAGCTCGGGGTTAACTTTCAGTACCAGAAGGGGTAACCTTGAGCTACACTCGGGATTACCCTGCAGCGTTGCTCTGGGATCCATCCAGCACTTACCTTGTCCTGCGCTCCCACAATGTGTCCCCTGCAGTGTCCCCGGCCATTTCCTCCAATGCCGGCATCCGTCTTCCGGGTTGTGTTCCCTGCGAGCGTCGGGACGTACGGGGGCCGGAACTGGCGGGAATTTAAAAAATTTAAGAATTTGACATTCACTCAATACACTAAAATCTGATAGTATTACATTACTGTATCAAAGCATTACAAAGCATTGTCCTCAGTGCTTTGTCCTGTGCCCTGCCTGCATTTTTACCGTTCTTTCTGCCTGGAAACTGAGAAAAGTCCATGGCGTCCAAAAAGCATCCCTTTAGGTCAAAAGTGATTTTAGACCAGCTAGAGAACAGCGATAGTAAATTAGAACTACTTGCAGAATTGAGTGATAATGATTCGTGGGGAAATTTGTCATCAGACACTGAAAACGATTTTGCGACTGACCTCAGTGATGCGCGAATTTGGCGCTATATTTCAAATTTCAGTGTTTTTGGTTTTGTTACATTATTAAATTGCATTTATTATTATTACATTATTATTTTTTATGATTATTTATTATATTATAATTTATGATTTCGTGTTTCAAATTTTATCATACCCGGGATGTTTACTAGACTCTTGTTTGGACAGATTTCAGTGAGTTATTCCTAAGAATTACAGGCCTACAATAAAAAAAAAACATATTTCCATTGAAAACAATGTATTGCTTTGAGCACAGAAATACTGACATAATCAGACCGCTAGGGAGGTTAAAGTGTCACTCCACTTGGACCTTACTCCAGGGCATGTGCCAGAGGTCCAAGAACATTAGCTGCCTGCTGGAGAGGATATCTAGAGGTAGATGGGCTTGCAAAGAATTTTCTTGCTGAAGAGTGTTGCAGTGAATCTGGGTAGAAGCTACTACTGGTAACTGTAAGAATGATTCATCACACATCAATTTAAGGTATCTAGGACTGCTCTAAAAGAATCAAAAGCCGATTTATTAGCGAGAGATCAACTACAACTTAAAGAAAGATAGTGACTGCTCTCACATGGTCATAGATCTGTCTGGATGCTCTCACAGGAGGCTGCTCTTAATGAGCCTACTTAGAATGCTACTTTCAGAATACTTGTCCTTTTTATGGGTATCCTCTACCCCTAACCCCCTCTTCTAGAACTTAGTTCAGCAATAAAAGATAAAACAACTAAAGTGGCTGCTTCCCAATTTACTTTTCTCTGCATCATATACCAAGAATCAGACCTTGAGATGGAAATATTAGCCTCCCACACTATTAAATCCAGGCATAGATAGATTGAATGTTGGCTGGTTTAGCAGGGACCGGTTGAGATTTGATCCATCTATGGGCAGGCTGGTTGTACCAAAGGCAATCCATCGATCAGCTTCAGTACAACCAGTCTGTCGGATTTTTTGCATGTGATTATTGCTGGTGGCTATAGCTTCTAGCAGTAAGCAATGTGTTCTGCCGGCAGGGAAAGCTCCCCATTGGCAGAACACAATAGCACCGCAGGAGAAATTCACCCATCAACACTGACTGTGTTGATGGGGGAATCAAGCAATTTTCTTTCCTGCAACCTGTGGCTGCTGGGAAAAGAAAATCACATCATCTATAGCCTTCCATATGGAGTCATTCTGCACCACTCCAAGTGGAGTAGTGCTACAAGAGAATGTGAAATTTACTCAACATTCACTGCAAATGAATCAATCACTGGGGGTTGTTTATTAAAACTGCATGGTGCGAAATCTGGTGCAGCACTGCACAGAAACCAATCAACTTCCAGGTTTTATTGTCAAAGCTTAATTGAACAAGCTGAAGTTAGAAGCTGATTGGCTACCATGCACAGATGCACCAGGTTCTGAGTGCTCCAGTTTTAGTAAATCTCCCCCAGAGTAATTTAAAACAACACTGGTTTATAAATGAGCCCCATGAATATGAGATAATGCAAACATTGGACAGACCTACAGTGCCTTGAAAAAGTATTCATACCCATTGAAATTTTCCACATTTTGTCATGTTACAATCAAAAACATTAGAGATGAACTAATCGAACATGACGAAGTGGAATTCGTTCCGAAGATTTGGAAAAATTCTATTCGCGACGAATCCGAAGATTAGCAAACTTCGGATGCACGAATCGAATTTTCCCAAAAATGGCGGCGACATGTGTGGCGACGGAGAAAATGGACAGAGAAGATGGGGCGGGGATCTCTGGGAAGGCGCGCAGACAAGGCGCGCTGACCCATAATGCATTCATGACATGTGATCGCATTAGCCAATCAGCAGCCAGCCAGCACTGTGTAATGGTGGAACTAATAAATCGCGGCCATCTTAGAATTCTCCATTAGCCTCCGGTCATTCAAGAGAGACAGACCTGTGTGTATTAAGGGACAGAGTTAGGGCCACAGAGACTTTAGGGCCACAGAATCATTACTCAGGGACACAGAATCGTTACTCAGGGACACAGAATCGTTTACTCAGGGACACAGTGTTCAGTGTTGTGCGCATTAGGCCAGACACCAAAGGGCAGCACAGACTGTTATTACTCGCTCAAGCATGGCTGAACAAAACCAGTCTCTACCACAAATTGGACCCAGACCTGCCCAGGGTCTCGTAACTAGATTGCACGGAGGAGTAAGTCCGTTATCGGAATTAAATAGACAAAACGCCACACCAAAAAAGAGTGGCCATTTCCAACACTTATTCCAGAAAGAGGAACAACCCGTTTCATATACGGCCCGTAGACGTTTCACGTCTGCCACCATTCAGTCGATTAAGACGCAAGCTCCACTTCCTGTGGTCTCTGACCGTCGTTATAACTTTAAGTGTCAGCTTTGAAGCTATATTCCCTCCGGAGCACTGACACTGTGCCCTTCCGTCAACATGCCTTTAAGTTTCAGTTTTCAACCATATTCCCCACAGAAGCCAAACTCTTGGGTATCCCAGAAGCTGCTCAGCGGGTCAGGGCAATAAAGCTCCCGTTCGCAGGTTGTTCCGTCTTATGGATGGAGTACGACGGTATATGATCTTCTTCGCACCCACGGCATTACCTCATAAAATTTCTGCATTGCATCTGCAATCACAACGCTGACTTCCCGGACGCCACTCAGCCATTTGGACTCTTGATAGTCGTCTCCCCACACTGCTGCTGGGGGGACTTTTTAACCTAGGCCTGTGTATGGCCTTCAATTGAAGCTGCTTCCGCTCCGCCACTCTGCCATTGGACTCTTGATAGTCGTCTCCCCACGCTGCTGCTGGGGGACTTTTTAACATAGGCCTCTGTATGGCCTTTAATTGAAGCTGCTTACGCTCCCGCCACTCTGCCATGGGCCTCTTGGGTATCCCAGAAGCTGCTCAGCGGGTCAGGGCAATAAAGCTACGGTTCGCAGGTTGTTCCGTCTTATGGATGGAAGTACGACGGTATATGATCTTCTTCGCACCCACGGCATCACCTCGTAGAATCTCTGCATTGCATCTGCAATCACAACGCTGACTTCCCGGATCGCCACTCAGCCATTGGACTCTTGATAGTCGTCTCCCCACACTGCTGCTGGGGGGGACTTTTTAACCTAGGCCTGTGTATGGCCTTCAATTGAAGCTGCTTCCGCTCCGCCACTCTGCCATTGGACTCTTGATAGTCGTCTCCCCACGCTGCTGCTGGGGGGACTTTTTAACCTAGGCCTGTGTATGGCCTTCAATTGAAGCTGCTTCTGCTCCGCCACTCTGCCATTGGACTCTTGATAGTCGTCTCCCCACACTGCTGCTGGGGGACTTTTTAACATAGGCCTCTGTATGGCCTTCAATTTAAGCTGCTTACGCTTCGCCACTCTGCCATGGGCCCCTGTACCGCCTCCTCTTGCTGCTGCCAGGTCCAGAGTGTGTCATGGGTCCCTGTACGGCCTCCCATTGCTGCTGACTTCATCGCCAGACTCTGCCATGTGCCACTTTCAGGTCTCCTTACACTGTTGGTGGGTTCCATTTTGTGATAGGGTGCTGTATGGCCTTCCATTGCTGCTGCCTCCACCAGCCACCCTGCGCCATGTGCCTCTGTCGTCTGCTCACGCTGCTGACGGCTTCCGCTTTTTAACCTAGGCCTGTGTATGGCTTCAGAATAATGCTGCCTACACCGCCACCCTGCGCCATGTGCCTCTGTCGTCTGCTCACGCTGCTGCCAGGTCCATACTGATTCATGGCCCCCTGTACCGGCTCCTCATGAACGTGGTTCAGCGGGTTTGCATCACTTAACGGCAAATCGTTGACAAACGCTGGGACGTTCAGTGTTGTGCGCATTAAGCCAGACACCAAAGGGCAGCACAGACCTGTTATTATTACTCGCTCAAGCATGGCTGAACAAAACCAGTCTCTACCACAAATTGGACCCAGATCTGCCCAGGGTCTCGTAAGTAGATTGCACGGAGGAGTAGAGTTCGTTATTGGAATTAACTGTGAGGGACTTTTAAACCTAGGCCTGTGTATGGCCTTCAATTGAAGCTGCTTCTGCTCCGCCACTCTGCCATTGGACTCTTGATAGTCGTCTCCCCACGCTGCTGCTGGGGGGACTTTTTAACATAGGCCTCTGTATGGCCTTCAATTTTAGCTGCTTACGCTCCGCCACTCTGCCATGGGCCCCTGTACCGCCTCCTCATGCTGCTGCCAGGCCCGTAATCTGCCATGGGCCCCCGTACCGACTCCTCATGCTGCTGCCAGGCCCGTAATCTGTCATGGGCTCCTGTACCGCCTCCTCATGCTGCTGCCAGGTCCAGAGTGTGTCATGGGTCCCTGTACGGCCTCCCATTGCTGCTGTCTCCATCGCCACACTCTGCCATGTGCCACTTTCAGGTCTCCTCACACTGCTGGTGGGTTCCATTTTGTCATAGGGTGCTGTATGGCCTCCCATAGCTGCTGCCTCCACCGCCACACTGTGGCTCCACACTCTGGTTTTGGCCCCGTGACTGCCCAAATGAGTGAAGTGTGCGGTGATTCTAAGATCGACGGCACTCATCTGCATGTCATACTGACTGACAGTATTATTTCTCTTCCCCAGCAGACTCCAAGGGCATTTAAATTAAAGGTACAGTGTTCTGCACTAATAAAGGCTCTCTGAAGCCTAGAAAACACCCTTTTTATAAGTTAAATTCGCAGCGAATATATTCGGCTCGAAGCGAATTTATTCGACGAATTCGGCGAATCAGCCGAACCGAATTTTTGAATAATTCGCTCATCTCTAAAAAACATAAATGTTTTTATTGGGATTTTATGTGATAGACCAACACAAAGTGGCACATAACTGTGAAGTGGAAGAAAAATGATAATGGTTTTCAAAATGTTTTACAAATAAATATTTGAAAAGTGTGGTGTGCATTTGTATTCAGCCCCCTATACTCTGATACCCCTAACTAAAATCTAGTGGAACCAATTGCCTTCAGAAGTCACCTAATTAGTAAATAGAATCCACCTGTGTGTAATTTAATCTCAGTATAAAATACAGATGTTCTGTGAAGCCCTCAGAGGTTTCTTAGAGAACATTAGTGAACTACCAGCATCATGGGCAGCACGGTGGCTAAATGGTTAGCACTTCCGCCTGGCATTACAAGGGTTGTTGGTTCAAATTCCAACCATAGCACCACCTGCCTGGAGTTTGCATGTTCTCCCTGTGCCTACGTGGGTTTCCTCCGGATACTCTGGTTTTCCTCCCACGCTCCAAAGACATACTGGTAGGTTTAATTGGATCCTGTCTAAATTGGCCCTAGTATGTGTATGTACAGTGGATATAAAAATCAGGTTTCTGTGATGTAAAAAAATTGGACAAAGACAAATCATTTCAGAAATGTTTCCACCTTTAATGTAACCTATAAACTGTACAACTCAGTTGAACAACAAACTGGAATCTTTTAGGTGGAGGGAAGTAAAAATAAAAAACTAAAATAATATGGCTGCATAAGTGTGCACACCCTTAAACTAATACTTTGTTGAAGTACCTTTTGATTTTACTACAGCACTCAGTCTTTTTGGGTATGGCACATCTTGCCCACTCTTCCTTGCAAAAACACTCCAAATCTGTCAGATTGCGAGGGCATCTCCTGTGCACAGCCCTCTTCAGATCACCCCACAGATTTTCAATTGGATTCAGGTTTGGGCTCTGGCTGGGCCATTCCAAGACTTTAATCTTCTTCTGGTGAAGCCATTCCTTTGTTGATTTGGATGTATGCTTTGGGTCGTTGTAATGCTGAAAGATGAAGTTCCTCTTCATGTTCAGATTTCTAGCAGAAGCCTGAAGGTTTTGTGCCAATATTGACTGGTATTTGGAACTGTTCATAATTCCCTCTACCTTGACTAAGGTCCTAGTTCCAGCTGAAGAAAAACAGCCCCAAAGCATGATGCTGCCACCACCATGCTTCACTGTGGGTATGGTGTTCTTTTGGTGATGTGCACTATTGTTTTTGCGCCAAACATATCTTTTGGAATTATGACCACAAAATTCATCCTTGGTTTCATCAGACCATAGCACATTTTCCCACATAGTTTTTGGTAGCGTTCAGATGTGTTTGTGCAAAATTTAGCCGGACTTGGATGTTTATCTTCTTAAGAAAAGGCTTCCGTCTTGCCACTCTACCCCATAGCCCAGGCATATGAAGAATTCGGGAGATTGTTTTCACATGTACCACACAGCCAGTACTTGCCAGATATTCCAGCAGCTCCTTTAATGTTGCTGTAGGCCTCTTGGCAGATTCCCAGACCAGTTTTCTTCTCATCTTTTCATCAATTTTGGAGGGATGTCCAGTTCTTGGTAATGTCACTGTTGTGCCATATTTTCTCCACTTGACAATGACTGTCTCCACTGTGTTCCATGGTATATCTAATGCCTTGGAAATGCTTTTGTACACTTCTCCTGGCCAATACCTTTTAACAATGAGATCCCTCTGAGGTTTTGGAAGCTTCCTGCGGACCATGGCTTTTGCTATAGGGTGCAACTAAGAAAATGTCAGGAAAGACCTACTAGAACAGTTGAACTTTATTTGGGGTTAATCAGAGGCACTTTAAATGATGGCAGGTGTGTACTGACTCCTATTTAACATGATTTTGAATGTGATTGCTGAACACAGCTACATCCCCAGTTATAAGAGGGTGTGCACACTTATGCAACCACATTATTTTAGTTTTTTATATTTACCCCCCCCCCCCCAAAAAAAAAAAAAAAGATTTCAGTTTGTTTTTTAATTAAGTTGTACAGTTTATAGGTCACATTAAAGGTGGAAAAAGTTCTGAAATGATTTAACTTTGTCTCCATTTTTTACATCACAGAAACCTGACATTTTACCAGTAGTGTGTAGACTTTTTATATCCACTGTATGAATGTAAGTTAGAGACTTTATATTGTACGCCCCTTGAGGGTTAGGGGCTGATGTGAATATATATGTAAAGGGCTGCGTAAATTGACAGCACCTGAAATAATAAATGAAGGCCAAGGAACACACCAGACAGGTCAGGTATAAAGTTATGGAGAAGTTTAAAGCAGGGTTAGGTTATAAAAAAATATCCCAAGCTTTGAACATCTCACAGAGCACTATTCAATCCATCATTTGAAAATGGAAAAAGTATGGTACAACTGCAAACCTACCAAGACATGGCCATCCACCTAAACTGACAGGCCGGGCAAGGAAAGCAATAATCAGAGAAGCAGCCAAGAGGCCCATGGTAACCCTTTAGGAGCTGCAGAGATCCACAGCTCAGGTGGGAGATGCCGAACAAATGTGGAAGAAGGTGCTCTGGTCAGATGAGACCAACATTGAACTAAAAGCAAAATGCTATATGTGGTGGAAAACTAACACTGCACATCATCCCCACACCCTGAACACACCATCCCCACCATGAAACATGGTGGTGGCAGCATCTTGTTGTTTGGATGCTTTACTTCAGCAGGGACAGGGAAGCTGGTCAGAGTTGATGGGAAGATGGATGGGGCCAAATACAGGGCAATCTTAGAAGAAAACCTGTTAGAGTCTGCAAAAGACTTGAGACTGGGGCAGAGGTTCACCTTACAGCAGGACAATGACCCTAAGCATACAGCCAGAGCTACAATGGAATGGTTTAGATCAAAGCATATTCATGTGTTAGAATGGCTCAGTCAAAGTTCAGACCTAAATCCAATTGAGAATCTGTGGCAAGACTTGAAAATTGCTGTTCACAGACGCTCTCATCCAATCTGACAGAGCTTGAGCTATTTTGTCACTGTCTAGATATGCAAAGCTGGCACAGACATCCCCAAAAAGACTTGCAGCTGTAATTGCAGTGAAAGGCGGTTCTACAAAGTATTGACTGAGGGGGCTGAATACAAATGCACACCACACTTTTCACACATTTATTTGTTAAAAAGTTTGAAAACCATTTATAATTTTCCTTCCACTTCACAATTATGTGCCACTTTGTGTTGGTCTATCACATAAAATCCCAATAAGATACATTTATGTTTTTGGTTGTAACATGACAAAATGTGGAAAATTTCAAGGGGTATGAATACTTTTTCAAGGCACTGTACTGTATCCGTAGTAGATCTCTCGTAATTGTAATCTTAAAATCAAGGTGCCTTGTATGTCATCATACATGTAGTTGTGCTAAACACATTTATTGCCACTGGTTTGGACAGTTGTTTTTTTTTTTTTTTTTTTTTTTTTTTGTGTTGTTACATGTTGTTCACCCTTAATGCTCTCATACTGCAAAGTGCTAAAAAAACAGTTACTTTACAGAAGGATAACTCTTCCATTAGAGAGAAATCTGTCACTTATACTGTAAAATTCAATTTGAATGATTCATGGTTGGTGATATTTCCATTTCTCATGCTTAAAAGCTTCAAAAATTGCATTCAAGTGATTTAAATCACAGTCAATCAGTCACCTTCTCTCTTTATGACAAACTCTTTTTATATTAAGATGAATAAAGTTGAATTTTTGCTGTCCTCTGAGAATAATTTTTTTATTCCTTTGTGTCATTTGACATCA